GAGTGTATGTGAGCTGCCAGATGATTTAGTTTTTTGAAATTTCTGAAGTTTGAAGTGTTTGGCCAGCATACATGCACCCATTTTTATTCATTGTTAATGTGGAGTTCTCTGTGTATCGGATTCTTTACACCAGTTCTCAAAGGAGCATAATGATCTTTATCTTGCAAGCTCCTTTAAAGATGATTTTATTAAGAGTGAAGGAGAATACAAGAGAGAGGATAAGATACTCCTAAAGTGATGAAAATAAAGTTCCAGAAGAAATAATATGAGAGAGATCAATTTAGAAGTGTTCCTTTATCCCTTTACAACCTAGATAAAGGTATGTCATGGAAAAACCATATGCCTTAGCCCACAGAGGCCAAGCAACCAATTTATCCCAAAGAAGATGAAATGCTGAACATGTTGATTAAAGAACCTGGAATTATGCTCTAACCATAAAATCCAACACCCAGCAAAGAGAGAACCTTCTTATGCCTCCCCTAAACCTGCTGAGTTTTGCTGGAGTATCAAGCCCCTGAATCTAAGTGGGTTAGGGCTAGAGGTGACTCTCAATATTCTGTTTCACTTGAATGCTTGGTTGATCACCAGATTCTCTGACTGATTTGCCTCTTAATGTTTTAGTTTCCATTGGAGGATAGTTGTTGTTGATTTCTAAATTTTGCTGCTCCTAGTTACTTCATTCCTTTCCCAGTGTGAGATGTACCATTTCATGGTTTCTTATTTTACTCCCTTATTTCTACCTTATGGTTTTGTGCTTTTACTATTCTGCAGATATGAAAATCCTTTGCTGAAAATATTTCATCTCCATGTCCTTTCATTGGACGTTCTTAGAGAGGCTGTGTATCCTTTAGTTTGTCTTCGTCGAGGTTCCCTAAGCTTGCTTGCTTGGAAGTATATTTTCACTTGGTGTTGCATAATCAGGAGTGAAACTTCTGATCCCATATACTTAGGATTTTGCCAGTGTACATTGAATTTCCAAGACTCTTCAATCACAAACTTGCATGTATGATGCATATATGTTTTGAACTTTAGCTGCAACATTCAGGTTCCCTGTTTTGGATGATGACAACTCTTCATAATGAAAATTATACTCCTGTTCAATCTTGTTATTTGTACTACAAAAATGAGCAAGTTTATCAATTTAAAAAAAATTAGGGTGTCTGCATCTTGGGCTGAGTGTTATTTATTTTTATCAATTATGTACACTTAACAAGTATGCAGCTTCGGAAATTTGAACAACCTGCAATTCCTATGCGAGAATGGAAGAGTTCACAAGTTTGCAAATAGCTTTTGTTCGCTTGCTTTCATGCTTCAAGAGTACAAACTGCAGACAAAAGATGTGCCTCTCCTGGATGATTTTCTATTTTCTTCTCTGAAGTTAGATAATGAGGGCCATGTTGGATGTCCTTCAGCAGGGCCTTATGCATCTCTTACAGATAGTCCTTCTTTTCCTCAACTTTGGAGTGATTATATTGGCAAGCTGAGCAAAGTGCTTTGCTCTTTCCTTCTTACCCCAGAGAATGTTAGATCTCATCATGTTCAATTAACCACTGGTCGAAATGCTTTTCCAGTATCTTTACTGTATAATGAACTTTCCATTAAGTGGGTTCTGAGGGTTCTTTTTATGGTGTTCCCCTGCATTAAGGCTTGTGCAAGTCAGAATGAGTTGCCTGGCTATCTGAGGTAGTTTTGTTCCTTTATTTGAGAAATAATCTATATTACCTTTGGTTGTCAATTCACTAAGTTTTAATTTTTGTATGTTTCTTTATCATCCCTTTGATATTTTCTTTTTTCATCTGTTAATTTATGTTTCTGCAGGGTTTTTGTCAGTGCCTTGCAACAATTTGTTCTGAATGCCTTCAAGAAGGTTCTTCTTTTATCACCTGTATCTCTTGAAGTATTTCGAGAAGAGAGAATATGGGACCTTGTCTTCTCTGAGAACTTCTTTTATTTCGAGCAGACAGCAGAGGAGTTTTCTGAAGATTGTTTGCTGTATAATGAAGGAACCTTTTCTTCTTTTATGAACTCTAACACTCGAGTCAAAACCAGTGTGGTTGAAATTCTTCAGATGGAAGTTATCTCATTTGTGGAACTTGCAGCAACCTCTAATGGCAGTGTTCATAATGTGGTATGTTTTCTCTGACGTCCTTGATTTCTTTGGCTAGGTATTTCATGCTTCCTTGAGTTACATGTTTATGTAACTTGGACATCAGTGTGGATTTTGATCTTCCTGAATGCGTGATGCCTAAGTAGGTTGAGCCTTATCAATGTTAAGGTGATTCAAATGCAAACAGAAACAAATGTAACAGATGTAGATTGAAGTAGAGGTCAGAGAGAGGGGGAATACAAAATTTAATGTGGTTATGTGATGTGTCTAGATCCACCGAGTTTCCTGTGAAATTTTTCTTTCTTGAAGAATTGAATGTTCCAATTATTTCTTAAAGTATATTTGGGAAGAAAACCCAAGGTTATAAGATTGTTGTTATAATACCCGCTACTCTAGGCCTAAAAGTTCTGCACCTTAACTGTGCGGTTTCACTCACTGCTCCCAAGCGCCTCCACCAATCCCAATGATACTCTGAATATGAGACGCAATTTTAAAATCATCCTTTCATGCTTTCTTTAAAATTGTTTCTATCAATGTGTTATTGTCATCTTGTCTCATTTGTTGTGTGCGTGCTATTACTTATTAATTACGTAATTAAATTTGTTTTTTTTCCTTCAGCTTGTTTTTGATGTTCTGTTTTTTATACTTTCAGATCAAGTTTACTTTTCCATTTTATGACAAGCTTTTATCTATATATATTTATAGTATTTATCATTTTATGTATGAATTTTGCTTAATTTCTGTCGCGTCTGTCGTTGCAGCCGGAGTTATCTGCCTTATTAGATTCTCTTGAACAGTCTGCTTGTAATCCTAAGATTGCAAGCATTGTTTCAAAAAGTCTGCTACGGATATTACAACTTTCACCTGAGAAAACTATTGCTTCATTTAAGACACTCAATGCTGTTGCTCGTGTGCTTAAAATTGCTTGCATTCAAGCCCAAGAATCTAAAAGAGTGGGAAATGTAGGCCTATGTTTTGACAGTAATAATGCAGAAGAGGTGCTAGGTTGTCAAGCAGCCGATTCATGTCCAACTGCCCAGAGTTGGCTTAGATGCATGGAAACATGCATGGAGCTCTTCATGGAGGTTTTCTCAATAACAGAAGATGCAAGACATATGATTTTGCATAACTCCACTTGCATTGATTATATGTTTGATTTATTTTGGGAAGAAGTGTTAAGAAATCACGTGCTTAAATGCATCCTAGACCTGTTGAAGGTAATGTTTTCCACTAAAATTCAACTAATATATGACTTAATTCCTATGACTCAAGCGGTGGAAGCCTTTATTATTTTATACCTTTTTTTTTGTTATATTTTAGATTGCACCATTATCAGAGGAAGATCAAAAAGCTAAATTGCAAGTGTGTTCAAAATTTTTGGAAACATTTACTCAAATAAAGGAACGGGAAAAAAGGTTTTCTGAACTGTCTATTGATCTATTGGCTGGAATGAGGGATTTGCTCCAGACAGATCCAGTGGTATATTTCTTTCCAGCTACTTAGTTCTTGACTAGTAGTTTGTCTATGTCATTCAATACTCATTTTTTTTTTTCCTTCAATATGATATCTTGGTTTTGCATCGATCTTTATCATCTTGGGGAATGGATTATCTCCAGTATTATCAAGCTTTATTCTGTGATGGAGAGTGCTTTCTACATGTCGTCTCTTTACTAAATGGTAACCTTGATATGGGAAATGGAGAGAAGTTGGTTTTGAATGTCCTCCAAACACTTACGTGTCTGCTTGCAAATAATGACATCTCAAAGGTACTATCCTTTTCTCTGTCATTTTCTGTGAGATCGTCTGGGTGACACAAATTGCTTCATTCTCATTAAAACTGTACTAGTTACCTAATTTTGAATGTCATTTTAATTTTTCCAGCTTGAGTGTCATTTATACCATCTGCCAACAATGCATGCTACCTGAATATGGCCTCTTTTGTTGGTTTTGATTTGTGGATATAGAGTGATTGTTGAATTATCTGCTTACCATATAAGAGTGAAGTTGTTCTGATTAACATGGATGTCCTTTTGCTTATATTTTAATGAAAAATAAAACAGTACCTCATACTGCAACTGTCAGAATTCTACTTGCATTAAAAATGTGAATTTCCTGACAGTTCCACTTCCGAGAACAATGCTTGGACATGGATATTATATTCAATTCTTTGTTGGTCTCATGTGGGTTCAGATTTTGCATGTCATCAGCCTGTTCGCAAAATTGTTCTGTCCAAGTGGAGTTTAGAGATTAATAACCACTTGTTTTTTCAGTTCCATGTCCAAGGAAGTTTTAATTCAAATTGTTTTTTTTCCCGCATGGGAAAGTCTGGATGAGTCTGCTGAACCTGAATATTTTTAGCGCTACTACTTTGTGTAATCTTTGAGAAAGCAAAGAAGCCTAAGTTTCTTTCTGGATGAGCTATTTTTGGTGGTTTATGAGTAATTTGTGTTGGTTTGGAACTCTAGGATTTTTTCATGATGGACGTTTAGGGTGAAAGGGAGTAAAATCATGAGGGATCATGGCCATAGGGAATCTAATGTCTAAGAGTTTTTCTCTATTGGTTAAAAGACTAGCATTTTCATAGGAACTTAATTATCTGTTTTTTTTTTCTTGAAATAAAGGAACTTAGTTATCTATAGCATAGGGTGATCTAAAATACTCATGGTAGCCGCAAGAATGGATGAGATGTCATAGCAACTCCATTGCCCATAAAAGTCCATCGAAGGCATCTCCCATTTGCATGATCTATATATTCCGCTTACATGTCTCAGAGTGAGAGATGGTTAAAGAGTATTGTTTTGTGAGGATCTTTGGGTTGGTGACAACACATTAGCCAATCGTTTTCCTCATCTTGGTAATATTCCTTCAAGCCACAATTCCCCTATTTTCTTTCTTTTTTTTTTTCTTGTTTATAAGGAACGGGTTATATCTCAGAACTTCATTTTTTCAGAAGCCTTAATGTTTCAGGACCAGGTGAAATGTATGGTTGAGGTGTAACTGGGTAGATGTGGGGTTGTTCAATGACTGTTTTTGTCTCTTCTGTTCCTACTATCTCAGCAGAAGGAAATAAATAAAATAGAGGGAAGTTGATGGAACATAGAGAAAAGAAGTCCAATAGAAATTATAACCTTTTTCTCTACAACAATTCCTCTTCTCTTCTGCATTTTCAACCCTTCTTCTCCCTACATCTTCTCCTAAATCTTTTTTACTTCTGCCTTAATATCTTCACAAGTCAAGCCAAGTTCCTGAAAAAGTGGTATTAGAGCAGATTGCTCTAAAGGAAACCCTTGCGAGCTTTGTGGCCATGGCGAAAAGTAAGGGGAAGGCTATTGTGGTGACCGGACCCCAGAAGCTGCAAACCCTAGAAGATAATGTAAGAGAGGTCGGCTAGAAACTCTCGAACTTTATGTCTGAGATGTACGACTCTCAGCGACAGATTAGGGCACTATTCGACCAAAAGTTCAAACCAGCTTGCAGATATGTTGCAAGGAGGTGTACGGTTGGGTGCGTTTTGACTAAAGGCTAGCCATTGTTTCTCTATACCAATTATGAATGAGGGTTTACTTCCTACCTTTAAGCAAAGAGATGCTGGGGGTAATTACTTGATAAGCTCACAGGGGAATTTATCGGGGAACCTTACTGAAGTTTTTTGGAGAAAATAAACTTTTAATTTTTATTACTTATGTTTTGCTTACATTTAGAAGATATATATATAAACTGATTATCCTTATTTTATTTGAATTCTAATTATAGGATATAATTATATTATTAGAACTCTAACTAATATAGTATTCTACTTAGCATGAAATCCTTATCAACACTCTCCCTCAAGTTGGCCGTAAAGATATCACACATACTTAACTTGCAAATCAGGTTCTGAAGAGACTTTTTGCATAGTCTTTTAACGAAATGTCAGCCACCTGATCGTCAGAAGATACATGATATAAGCATATAGAGTCACCAACCACCTTTTTTTTTATGAAGTGTCGATCAATTTAAATGTGTTTTGTCATATCATGTTGAATGAATAATGTTAATTGCTGCTTTGTTGTCACAAAATATGCATAGTTTCTCATTTTCACATACTTCCTACGCTATTGCTTTATCTGCCTCAGCACTGAAGCGAACAACCACACTTTGTTTCTTATTTTTGCATGTGACTAAGTTCCCTCCTACAGGTATGCAGTAATCTGTAGTTGATCTTCTATCATTTAGGAACTTAGCCCAATCGGCATCTGTAAATACTTCTATTTTAAAGGTGATCATGCTTAGAAAAGAGCAGATCTTATCCTGTTGCAGACTTCAGTATCGTAATATGCA